GACGGGACCCCAGTCCTAGCAGTAAAGTCACGGACGTTAAACCTTTTTCTCGGTAACACACACACACACACACACACACACACACACACACACACACACTGCCCTGACCGTTGGCTGACAGGGAGGGAGAGAGAAAAGCAAGTATCTTAAACATGAAAGTTATTTATTTCCAGGCAGTAACAAATTACAGTAAGAGGAGAGCCAAACAAAAAACAGTTACAATATTAAATCTAACGTAAAGCTGATTACAAAAGTTAGGGCTAGCAAACACAAACTCACACATATAAATAAAGTTCAGGGAGGCAAGTGAGTTTGTTTCAGTTCTTGAAATTCCAAAATTTGCCTTCTATTGGTATGCATGTTGTCACATTGAGAAAGAAACTATTGTAAGTTATTTGGGAGAGAGAAAAGCAAGTATCTTAAACATGAAAGTTATTTATTTCCAGGCAGTAACAAATTACAGTAAGAGGAGAGCCAAACAAAAAACAGTTACAATATTAAATCTAACGTAAAGCTGATTACAAAAGTTAGGGCTAGCAAACCAGAACTAAGCTATAAAGGCAGGGTGAGGAGCTATACTAAAAGAAGAGAGAGAGAAACCTCACCCCTCCATGAAATTTGAACTGATCATGATTCCCAGGTGGTTCCCTTGAGCCCACCCTGGGAGTGGCCAGACAGCCAACACCGGCTGCCCCAGGGATGGAGCTGGCTTCCACATTTGGAAAGCAGAAAAAGGGACCTGTTGAAAATAGGGAGGTGGAGTGGGATCTCCAGTGACCTCAGGGATAGGGCATTAGCCTTTGAAGGACAGGGTGGTGGGCTCACCCTCAGGGTAGCTAGGGATGAGAAGGTTTAACTAGTTAACCAGTAAAGTCTCACCCCTTAACAGGTGAGGCTTACCAGGTAAGGTTAACCGGTGGGACTGGAACGACTCCCTGGCTCTGTCAGGCAGGGACTGTTCCAATGGGGATGCTGGAGCAGCCTCTGTCCATGGCGAGGCCCAGGCACAGCACAAGAAGAGGCAGCTCAGCTCCTGGCTGCAGCGTGTGTGTGCACATGTGCACCCACTCTCCCCTTCAACCGATTAAATAATATGTTTATCTGGTTAGTGAATTAAATGGGATTTTACATCCCTTATGGTAGCTGGGGATCCAGAGTGTGGGAGACGTGCAGAGCAGAGCCTGTAGCAGGGCCGGATTAAGGGGGGGGGGGCTAGTCGGGCAGCTGCCCGGGGCGCCAACCTATGGGGGGCACCTGATGGCAACTGTAAGGGTTGCACAGCGCCCCTTATAGCTGTCATCAGGTGCCGCACGCCCGGCTCCTGGATTGCGGGCTGCAGCAGCTCCTAGCGGCCACCCTGCAGCAGCTGCCCGGGGTGGGGGCCGCATTAACCCCTGCAGAGCTGCCCAGCAGTGTCCTTCCCCCCACAGCTGCGGGGCCCTGCATGGCCAGG